TACTCTGCTCAACCAAGTGCTCATTCTCTGACAGTCACGTGGAAAATGAGACTGGGGCGGGGGAATCATAGACGTGTCTTCTGTATCACGTCATATGCCCACACTGAGGCATGGAGTCAATGCCTTGGGATCAAAGACACCCTTTATTTATTTATTTGTTTTTTTTGAGACGGGGTCTCACCCTATCTCTAGACTGGAGTGCAACGGCACCATCTTGGCTCACTGCAACCTCTGCCTCCCGGGTTCAAGTGATTCTCCTGCCTCAGCCTCCCAAGTAACTGGGACTACAGGCATGCACCACCTTGCCTGGCTAATTTTTGTATTTTCAGTAGAGACAGGGTTTCACCATCTTGGCCAGGATGCTCTCCATCTCTTGACCTCGTGATCTGCTCACCTCGGCCTCCCAAAGTGCTGGGATTACAGGCATGAGCCACCGCACCCAGCCAAAGACACTCTTTAAATAATCTCTCTCTCTCCTCCCCTAGTGGATTCGTTGACTCCATGGGTTACATATATGTATGATGCAGCCACACTCCTTCTCAAATCCTGACAACCAGATAGCCATGGCAGAGGACACAGAGTGTCTGCTCTGTGTAAAATACAACCTCTTGTCTTCTGAGGGTGATCCTTCTCCTCCTTCACCCCTGTGTGTAGACTGCAAATGGCCACAGATTCTTTTGAGAGGTGGAGCCTGTTTCCCTACTCCTTATACCTGGACTTGCCTGGTGACTTGCTTTGACCAGTAGAATGTGGCAGAAGTGATGCTACGTGGTTGCCAAATCTAGGCCTTAGGAAGCCTTGTGGTGCCTTGCTCTTGCAGCCTTGGACTTCTGCTGCCATGTGAACGAGCTGCTGGAGAACTGAGACACCCTGGCTGACAGCATGCTCAGGGCTGAACATGCGTGTCAGGCCATCCTAGGCCATGCAGGCCCAGCCGGGCTGTCCGCTTACTGGAGCGGCATAAGTGACCCCAGATGAGACTAGCAGAGAAACCACTGCTGGTTCCAGCCCACATTGTTGACTCAGAGAGTGTGAACCAGTAAGTGTCACGTGAAGCCACTAGGTCAGTTGGGTTTGTTAGTCGTTGCAGAGACAGCTGTTTACAAAAATGTGGGCTCCCCTTCCGTATGGTGAGCTTGTTATTGGGAGGTGGCCACTTGGCCAGACACTACATCTCCCCACTCCTCCATGTCAAGTATGGCCACCATAGAGCCGGTTCTCGCCAGTGGAGTATGAGTGGAAGCCACGTGCCAGGGAATACCCCTGGACTGAGGCTGAGGAATTGATGGGAATTCTCCACTCTCTCTTCCACCTTCTGTTGACTGGAAACAGAGGCCTTCTGGGTCCTCGGGGGTGGGGAAACCACAGGAAATGGTGAACCTGAGTTCCTGGTCCGCATGTGGCGAATAGCCCGCCAGTAAGGAATGCTGGCATTGGGTGTTATAGGAGTGATCAAGTTCTTTTGCGTTAAGACTTTGGAGGTTTGGGGTGTTTGTTAGAGCACACAGAGCTCACAGTGACGAGTTCCTCTGGCCAGCACTATTCCAGGCACTTCACATTTATTGACCTCCTCCATCCTTCCAACAGCCCCACAGGGAAGGGATTATTTTCACTTTGACAGAGGTGGAAACTGCCACTCGAAGGGGTGAAGTAAATTTCCCAAGGGCACACCTGGAATAAAGTGGATGGGGACTTGATCTAGACAACCTGTGAGCTAGTTCCTCGTCCTGCTCTGTCTCTCCCGCCCCTCTGGGGCAGTTTCCTCATCTGGAAAATGGATTGGGAGTGAGGAGGCTAAAATCACAAGCTTTCCTCAACCGCCCTGACTCCCTGGGTTTCTGCGGTTCTCAGGCTTGACATTGGGACACAGGTACAGGAGAGTCAGGGCGTGAAGGGAACTCACAGTCCTGCTTCTTAAGTCCCGGGAGGTCCATCTTGATCTCTAGACCATTCTGTAATCAGTAGGGTGGCGGAGGGAGCCGGGCTGATTTGGCAAATCCTGGGAGCTGCAGTGTCTACACCTTAGAAGACAGGAGTCAAAATGTGTGGTACCTGCACGTCGGTGTCTCAGGGAAACCCAGGCCTGGCACTCCCCGTCCACAGCACCTCCACAAAGTTTGTACCCGGTGATAGGCACAGTCCTATTGCTGCCGGGGGAGGACCTGATCAGGGGGCTGGCAGAGTCAGGGTTGTGCCTTGGCATGAGACAGTTGGAGACAAAAGCTTTGGACAGTAGGGTGGGTAGGGAATGAGAAAGCCCTCTCCTGCTATGTGGCAGATAGGAAAGCCAAAGCCCAAAGAGGCTGAACGACTTGCCCCAGGTCACCCAGCCAGCCGGGGCCAGGCCCCTTTTCCTGCATCATGCTGCCTGCTGGGCCTGGGCTGGGGTCAGCACACCGACGCCTTTTGGCTGTGTTTTTTCCGAGTGTCTGATGTAGAGAAGAATTTTGAAACTATACTTGGGAGAAGCTTCTTCTCTTGGGAAGTCCCATACAAAAAACCTCAGCAGAGAGGACGGCCCTGCAGGCCTATTGACTCCAGGGCCTTCAGCTGCCCCTCTCCTCCCTGAAGGGCTTGGCAGGAAACCTGCTAGACTGACGTCAGAGGGTGGTAGCTGTAAGGCCTCTGCTTTCTGTGCAGTTTCAGTTCAATCAGACACTAATGTGTTGGAGAGGAAGCCTGGATTCCGCTCCCAATGTGGCGAGTCACCAGCTACATGATTTGGTGGGAAGCCTCTAGTTCCTTATCTGGGAGGAGGGAGGGAAGGGGAGTGGGTTGGACTAAACAGCCTCTGAGGCCCCTGGAACCTGATTCCTGCGGAAATGGGAAAGATGTTCTGGGGGGTATAGAATTATCTATATGTCTAGACACACACGCACATATGCATATGTATACCTCTATTTATGTTCATATCTATTTATATTCTTTTTTTTTTTTTTTTTTTTTGAGATGGAGTTTCACTCTTGTCGCCCAGACTGGAGTGCAATGGCATGATCATGGCTCACCGCAACCTCTGCCTCCTGGATTCAAGCAATTCTCCTGACTCAGCCTCCTGAGTAGCTGGGATTACAGGTGCCTGCCACCACGCCCAACTAATTTTTGTAGTTTTAGTACAGACGAGGTTTCACCATGTTGACCAGGCTGGTCTCGAACTCCTGACCTCAGGTGATCCACCCATGTCGGCCTCCCAAAGTGCTGGGATTATAGGTGTGAGCCACTGTGCCCAGCCTATTTATATTCGTTCTATTTATATATACTATTATATATGTCTCACCTTTGAAGCCTGATACTTCCAAAAGAAGCCTGGCTCATTAAGGAAGCGGAATGAGTATCATCCTCCTGCCACACAGCACTTACCATCTGCACACGTCCTCATACAAGTGGGTTGGGGAAAACTCAGGTTCAGCGTCATGCCCAGGGCTCTGGGGTGGGAGGGGCCTGGATTCTTGACTCCCTTGTTGCTTAGTTCCATCTTGGGTTTTGCTTCTTCAACTTGGCCCTGGTTCAGCCAGGCCCGACTGGGTGTCTAGGCCCTTGGCAAGGCCTTTGCCTAAGCAGGAAGCTATAGGCAGCAGCTGTGGTGCGGCGGAGACTGTGTGGTGAGGCTGCAGAGGCAGGCAGGGAGTCTGACTAGACCGGCCCTGACTCAACTTTTGCTTCCAGACAACCTAGGTGTGGGGGCGTTGCCACGTCAGTCAGGACTCCCTCTGTTGAGCGTGACAGAAACCCAGCTCACACTTGCCTAAACAAAGGGAGGCTTTGGGCTCCAGAAATTGGGAAAGACAGGGGTGGAGTGGACCTCAGGCATGACTGGATGGCAGCCTCAATGCAGCCAGCTCTCTCTGTGAATGGTCACCATTATTTTCTGCAACACACAGGATAACCTGGGCTGGGGGCTGGGGGAGGGAGAGGCCCCGATGCGGACAACCCAGTTTTAATTACCCTAGTTGGTGACTGTGGAAGAGAAAGAGCTCAGGGTATACAGGTTCCAGGGAAGGCTGTGGTCAGCTGCCTTAGGCCACAGGCCCACCTCTGGAACTGACATCATGTTCAGGCCACGTTAGGGCAGAGGGGACTGCCATGGGCAGTGAAGTCGAATCCTAAGGGATGGGCCATGTGGAGAAGCAGATCTGTGAATGAGGACTAGTGTTATCAGAGAGGGGACCATTGAGATCCTGAGGATGAGATCAAAATGCTAGCTATCCACTAAAGATCCAGTAGCAGTCAGCATCCAATAAGGAGGGCAGAGATAGTTTCGTATAAAGACCTGAGGTTGAGGGTGGGCGTGGTGGCTCATGCCTATAATCCCAGCACTTTGGGAGGCTGAGGCGGGCAGATCATGAGGTCAGGAGATGGAGACCATCCTGGCCAACATGGTGAAACCCCTTCTCTACTAAAAATACAAAAATTAGCTGGGTGTGGCAGCAGCATGTGCCTGTAGTCCCAGCTACTCAGGAGGTTGAGGCAGGAGAATTGCTTGAACCCAGGAGGTGGAGGTTGCAGTGAGCCGAGATTGTGCCACTGCACTCCAGCCTGGTGACAGAGCTAGACTGCATCTCAAAAAAAAAAAAAAAAAAAAAAAAAAAGAACTGAGGTTGGAATGAGGACACAGCCCAGGAGAACCGGGGTATGAAGGGGGTTCTCAGCGAGCAGGAGTGAAAGTCTCTTCTCAGCAGAGCAGGAGTGAAAGTCTCTGCTTTGTAAGTCCTGGGACGTCCATCTCGGTCTCCAGACTCTTCTCTGCAGTCATCAGGGTGACAGGGGCTGACAGGGTGAGCAGAAGTGGCAACTGCAGAAAGCAGCTACTAGTATTTCTGTGACTGAAGGAGCGAAAGGGGACATTTAGAAACACAGTGGAGGTACCCTGCAGGGCTGACACTCAGACTTGAGGAGGGGTCTCTGCTTGCTGGCGCTGGGGCCCTGAGCTCAGACAAGGGCCCGCTTGCCTGGGACCGCGACCTCTGAGCAGGGGTCTGGGCCAGCTTCTGATAGCGTCTCTTGGGCCGCCAGGGGATGGAACTGGTTCTGCCAGGGTTGGAGAAGCTGCAAGCTGCGTTCTGCAGCGGCTCTAGTTTGGCGCTGCCCGCTGTTGGCTGGGGAGAGAAATAGCTCCCAGGAACAGGAAGCCCGCAGGAAGCGGACGGGGAGCAAACAGGAAGAGCGAGTCCTGCCTCCTGCACTAGCCTAGTGGTGCTGCTCTAGCGCCCTAGCGCCCGGGCTGCAGAGCCTACACAGCCTACACAGAGCTGGCTGGCAGAGCGGAGCCGCAGCGGAGTCCCAGCTCCAGCATCATCAGTTGGAGCCCAGAGCATGGAGCATAGAGGTAATGGCTGAAAAGCGGCCCCAGATGGCTCCCTGCAGGCCTTCTGATGGGTGCAGGAGTCCATGGGACGGCCGTCTCTCTCAGGAGGCTGGGAACTTCTTGAGGTTAGGGACGTGCTGGCTTCGCTGTGCATCCTCCATGGGGCCTGATATCCTTCCCCGTGCAGAGCAGGCCCTCGTAGGCAGGTGTTAGGTTGAAATGAGCTGCATGGCAGGAGCCCTTGTCAGGCAAGGTGTCCTGGGCAGCTCTGCAGCCCTCCCTGCCCTGCCCTCAGAGTTCCTGTGTGTTTTCCCGGGGTGTGGTTCCAGGCTCTCCATGGAGTCCTGCACGGGTCCAGGGTGGGGGTATTGAACACTGAACCTTGAACACACCGGGGCAGGCTCTGCCCAGACCTGGCAGATGCACACTAAACTCCCTTCTCATCCTCGTCTACTTGCCAATAAAGTCAACAGCAGGGTCTTAGCTCCACCAGTTATAGGCTGTCTGGCTTTGGGCAGGTTATTGGGCCATTCTGAGCCTCAGTTTCCCCAGAATGACCTCTTCAGTCCCTTATTCCCTGCACCAGGAGACAGGAAGAGATTGTTGGTCCTCTTCAGCCAGTCCATTCCTCTCCCCTGTCCCCTGCTTCTCACTGGAGTGAGATTTTAACACAATGTATCATAATTATGCTTTGAAAGGCAGTCAGTATTAGCAAGGCAGATATCTGTTTAGCTCGAAAAAAAGAAAAGATCCAGGTCAGCTGGGACTTGCTGAGCAGAGCTCATGGACAGCTGCAGGTGAGGCAGGGGGAGCAAAGGGGGAGAGAAGGCGAGGGAGGACAGGGGCTCTGCACCAACCTGAAGGAAACAGGAGACCAGGTGGGCCCCATGTCCTGGGCTCCTGTGAATTCCAGAGCAGCGAAGCGTTTAGACAGGAGTCCTCAGGAGAAGGCTGGAGCCCCCCAGCCTCCAGCTGCATCAGGGCAGGACAGCAGGGCGACAGGCCCAGTGGAGTAAGGGACCCAAAGATGTTTATGGACCTTGTGGGAAATGGGATTAGGCCAGTGCTCAGTAGAGTAAAGGCTCCAATGAGAAATGATAGCTTTCGTGGCACCGTGGCCATATCATGGTCTGCCCTGTCCTAAAGGTTTTTCTATAAGTTTGTCTCCCTCTTCCATCTCAAGTTCTTTCAAGGCAGGGACTGGGTCTGAGTTTTCTCTGATGGTGCCCGGAGAGTATGTTGGGTGCATCTGGGGCCACAGTCAAGTCCGGGTGAGTGTTTGGAGGGGCTTCTGGCCGTGTGGCCTAGGCTACTGTAGAGCCATGGGTCTGTCAGCTAACACAATGGTGTGAGCAGTGCCAGATGTGACATTTCCCAGCCAGGAGCCCTGGCAGGCAGGCAGAGGGGATCAAAGCATAGAGACCTCGTTTTCAGCCAGAGAAGGGATTAATGAAGAACCCAGTGTCCCAAAGGGAGGCTAATTGGGTTCCGAAGAGTGATAAGTGTTCCTGGACCCACTTGGCATGCTCCTACCCTCTGAGCCCTGTTTCCTCAAGAATTTAATTTAACATTCCTTGTTGAACGCAGCTCTCGGGGGAGGACTGATTTGGGCTGTTTGGGCTGTTTTATTTTCCTCCCTCTATCCTTCCTTTCTTCTCTTGTGGGAAGATGCCAGTGCTTGGTGAACTGGCTCTTTGGGGTGACCAGACCAACCTTCTCTGAGCAGGCCCTGAGCACAGAAAGCCTTGGGCTCCCTCTGTCTGCTCAGCAGCCCAGCCATCTGCCTTGCTTGGTCACCGTGGAGACGTGTGCTGGGGCTGCCTTTCTGGAACTGGTTGCGGGGGGGTCTGGCAGGTGGAGAGATACCTGAGCCCCGGCTTCTAATGCTTTTTTCTGGGATCCTGACATACAGCACAGATTGGACATACCTCCCCTTCTTCCCTGCTTGATAACCATCCCTGCTGGGCCTCCCAACTTGAAACGTGGGACCACGGTATTGTAGAGAAGGATAGCTCTGGCGTTGGCCTGCCTGTGTCTGAATCCTGACTCTGTGCCACCCTGGGCAAGTCATTTAACTTCTTCAAGCCTCAGTTTTTGCTCCTGTGCATTAACTACCCCAGAGATATTGTGAGGCTGACATGAGACAGCCAGGGTGAAAGTTCAGCACAGGGCCTAGGATATGGTAAGCATGGTGTAAGGATTATAAGCTTTTGTTAGTAGGAGAGCATGTTAGTTTCCCGTGGCTGTTTTAACAAATTACCATAAATGAGGTGGCTTAGCAGAAACGTATTCTCTCCCAGTTCTGGAACTCGGAAGTTCAAAATCAGGGACAGCCATGCTCCTCTGAAGGCTTTAGGGGATAGTCTATTTCTTGTTTCTTCCAGTTTCTGGTGGCTGCTGGCATTCCTTGGTTTGTGGCCTCATCACTCCAATCTTCAAAACCAGCATCTCTGAATTTCTCACTGATCCATCTTCACATGACCTTCTCATCTCAGTGTGTGGTCAAATCTCCCTCTGCCTCACTCTTATAAGGATAAATGTGTGTGCGTTTGGGGCCTATACAGATAACCCTCCATCCCGAGATCCTTATCTTAATCACATCTGCAAAGACCCCTTTGTTTTGCCATACAGTGTAAAATTCACAGGTCACAAGGATGAGAATATTGATTTTGGGGGGGGGGGGGGGCAGGAGTCATTTTCCAGCCTACCAAAGATGGATCAAAGAACTGGAGTGAGGAGGAGAGACTTGAGTGCCTTTGGTTCTTGTCTTAGGACAGGCTCCCTAGTAGCAGACCCTGGGATGAGGTTCACTGTGCACACGGTTGATTAGGGAAGCGCTCCCAGGAGAAACTGGCAAGATGATGGGAGAAGCAGGTCAGAGAAGGGGAAGAAACTCAGTAGGGTGAGATTTGAAGTCCCAGCCTGCTCTGGTTTGAATGTGCCCCCCAAAACTTCATGTGTTAGAAACTTAATTGCCAATGTAACAGTGTTAAGACGTGAGACCTTTAAGAGGTCATTGGATCACAGGAGTGGAGCCCTCCTGAATGGATTACTGCCATTATCCTGGGAGCGAATTAGTTCTCTCGGGAGGGAGTTATTTCTCACGAGAGTGGGTTGTTGTAAAATGAGCTCAGCTCGCTCTTGCGGTCTTTTTCACACGTGCTTGCTTGCTCTCTTGCTGTATAATGCCTTCCCCAGGGTTATTATGAGCAAGAAAATCCTCACCAGGTGCTGGCGCCATGCCCTTGGACTTCCCAGCCTCCAAGACCATGAGCCAAATAACCTTTTGGTCTTTATAAATTACCCAGTATCAGGCATTCTATTAAAGCAACAGAAAATGGACTAAAACACAGCATCGTATTAATCCCACAGAGAGCTTTAAAAAAGGAAAGTCACTGATGAAATTGAATCTCATTTTTATCACTACCCATTCCTATTTCCCTCCTTTCCTTTCCAGAGGAAGTTATTGTCATAAATTTGGTATGTGCCTTCTTGTCCACTTAAAAAATGCTTATAATATATATTTGTGTCCCTAATCATGTAAAGTATTGTCTTCTGCATTTTAAAAATTTATGTAATAAATTTATGTAATAAATCTTATTCTCTCCTCCCTCTCTCTATATATCTATATCTATATCTCTCTATATATATATTTATCTGTCACTTTGATTTTTTCACTCAGTACAGGGTTCGTAAGATCTGTTCATGTCAAGATACGCAGATATAGTTCATTGCTTTTCACTGCTGCTGATTAATATGTACCGCTTTTACTTTAGATGAACATTTAGGTTGTTTAAAAATGTTTTCATTATTACAAGGCTGAGGTGTCTTCTTACCCTCATAGAAGAGTTTCTCTAGGGTTGATGCCTTGGGAATTTTTTCGGTCATAAAATGTATGCATTTTTCAATGTTAATAATAACTGCAAAGCTGTTCCCCAAATGGCTGTGCTAATATCCCCCATTAGCAGTGTTTCTGAAAATTCCCATTTTCCTCATATTTTCACAAAGATTAGTATTGTCAGACTTTTAATTTTTTTCTAAAATATGGGGATTGACACGATATGACAAGGTTTCAACTTGTTTTCTGTGAGTGCTTCCATGAGTTAAGCATCTTTTCGTGTATTCATGACCACTTGCATTTCCTCTTCTGTAAATTACCCCTTTAAATCTCTTACCCTCTGTCTATTGGGTTGAGCACCTTTTTCTTATTGAGTTATAGAAGGTCTTTATATATTCCAGAGACTACCTTTTTGCTATTTCGTATTGTAAACAACTTCTAATCTGTCATTTTTTGTCATAAAGTATTTTGATTTTGATATGGACAAATCTATTAATTTTTAAATGGTTTGTTCTCTTATATCTTGAAAGCTTTTTATTACTTGACATCATCAAGATATTATCTTTTTTTAATAGCTTAAAAGTTTTCTTTTCTTTTTTTTTTTTTTTTGAGACGGAGTCTCGCTCTGCCGCCCAGGCTGGAGTGCAGTGGCCGGATCTCAGCTCACTGCAAGCTCCGCCTCCCGGGTTTATGCCATTCTCCTGCCTCAGTCTCCCGAGTAGCTGGGACTACAGGCGCCTGCCACCTCACCTGGCTAGTTTTTTGTATTTTTAGTAGAGACAGGGTTTCACCGTGTTAGCCAGGATGGTCTCGATCTCCTGACCTCGTGATCCGCCCGTCTCGGCCTCCCAAAGTGCTGGGATTACAGGCTTGAGCCACCGCGCCCGGCCAAAAGTTATATTTTTAATATATAGGCTTTAGCCAAACTAGAATTTATTTTTGTGCATGCTATGAGATAGGAACCTGATTTTATTCTTTTATATGGAAAGCCATTGTGCCAACACCATGTATATCTATATATATGTAGTCTCTAAGCTCTCCAGTCTATTAATTTGGTCTGTTTTTTATTGCTCTATAAATATCACCCAGTTTTATTAGTATAGCTTTATAAGAATTGTTTATATCCTGTTGGTTAAGCCATGTTCCCTCATCTCTTATTGTTCTTTAGAATTGCCTCGAATTT